GTTAGATTCAGCATATCAAAGAACCCCATATATTCAATTTTTGTTGAAATCAAACAAAGTTTAATTTTGGACCCCAATTTGGACCAACTTGAAAACTGGGCCAAAAATCAAAAATCTGAATACATGTTTAGATTCAGCATATCAAAGAACCTCATATATTCAATTTTTGCTAAAATCAAACAAAGTTTAATTTTGGACCCTTTGGACATTAATGTAGACCAATTTGAAAACTGGACCCAAAATTAAAAATCTAAATACACTGTTAGATTCGGCATAACAAATAAATAAATGTGATCAAAGATTTTACAAATCTAATGCGCCATACTGTGCAATTAAAGATTATTTCTTGAAATTTTTCAATATTTGAAATTTGAAAAAAAAATAATATTTGAAGAATAATTCTTTTTAATTTCTGAAATCTGAAATGAGAAAAAATTGGCCCCCCACAATTTCTTTTTATCCCCCCCCCCTTTTTCCCCCAAAAAAATTCTTTCCCTCAAGATATGGTCATAATCTCAATTCAAATTTCCAATGGAGTTGGCAACCATAATTACCCATTTATATAAATTTACCATAGTGCTAACTTAATCTATTTTATAATAGAATTAATAAAAATATAGTGTCAAATCTTTCATATGGATTTTTTTGTAAAAAAAAAAAGATGAAAACATTTGCAGATATTTTTACTGGTCTTCCTTTATAAATATGCATTTCTTTAAACATAATTTAAAAGCAGTGTAAGGGAAGTAACCAAAACGTTGTATTTGGATTACCTCCCTTACACTGTTTTAGATTATCTTTATTGTTCATTAACCATTACTTTATACATAATTTAAAAGCAGTGTAAGGGAGATAATTTCAATGATGTATTTGATTTATCTCCCTTACACTGCTTTAAATTATGTTTTGTACTAAAGTATTTGTCCATTAACCAGGACAACCTTGTTTTTCCCCCTTTTTTGCCCCTAATTCCTAAACGGTTTGAGCCATAACCCCCCAAAGCAAATCCTAACCATCCCTTTGTGGTATGGAAACTTGTAGTATAATTTCAGAGAGATCCATACACCGTTCCACAGTTATTGTCTGGAAACTAGAAAATGCTCATTTTTGGCCCCTTTTTGGCCCCTAATTCCTTAACTGTTGGTACCATAACCCCCAAAATCAATCCCAACCTTCCTTTTGTGGTATTTAACCTTATGGTCAAATTTCAAAAAGATCCATTCACTTAAACTAAAGTTAGAGTGCGAAAACCAATATGTATTCGGACGACGACGCCGGACGACGACGACGACGACGCCGGACGACGACGACGACGACGCCAACGTCATACCAATATACGACCACAAAATTTTTTTGCGGTCGTATAAAAATTACTTTTCACGAGTATTTTTAAATGTTGTATATGTAGCTTTAATTGTAAAATCCAAATTTTCTTTTTCTGATGTCTTTTCCACGAAAACAGAGTAGGTAAAAGAGTACAACTATCTTCTAAATAATCCGTTTAACAATACAAATTAACAAAACACATAATAACTCGAAATAAACTAATCAAACTATTGAAAGTTGTCAACAAAACTTTGCATGCAGTAACAACTGTTTAGTATAGCAGTATACAACCATTGATTCGCTAAGTGCAGATTTTTAGTTTGACCTCTTTCTCTTCTGTAAGCAACTTTTAAAAAGTCAGTTCAACATGAGCATGAATCAAATCTCAATTGGAATATGGTCCTCCCTCGCCTTCCCCTATTAAGAAGAAAAAAACCTTAGATACAGTGGGGGCGTCTGTTTGTCTGTGTAGGATTTATAAATACGCCGGTGATGTAGTTAAATCAGATGCACCGTTTGCCAGGTCCTCTGCGCTATAGAGAATCCTTGCGACAACTTCCCGTGCGGTTCACAGAGTACATTTGTTTTATCCCTATCAAACATACTCGTATTTTTCAATGGCATACTAGCTGCACAAGTTTCATTCTTAGTATACAATTCCTGTTATTTGTTAATGATCTCATATCTTTAATATGAAAAACGATTATTGATATTATTAATGTATTTTTAGTATAAAAATATAATATATACTTTGTAAATTTACATGTACGAATGGAATATTTGATTTCAAAATGACAAATATTAAACTATTAATTTTTACATAAATAATTATTTTTACCTTAAGAATCGATATCGTGATTTGTCATTTTATGAAAGAATGATTCATTGATGTTAAAAATAGTTTCTAATATCATAACATATATGACTTTCAATTACCAAAAAATAGATTAGAGTACTAGTATAAAATACATATTAGCGTGCCTAACAATTTTCTAGGTATGTCTCACAATGTACTCATGATTTTGACACCGAATTCATATACTCTGTAATAAATATTGGATATGATTAGAATTAGGTGGGGTGGGGATAATCAATGAGATAATTTATATATATGGCAAGCCGTCAGTGTGGAATTTATAAAAAAAAGTGAATATTCCCTATTTGTCAGTGATATTATTAATCAGTTTATAACATGTTTATGAATATATTTAAACATATCGGAAACAATTATCAATCATGGCATGTATATATAACTTTTTTATCAATAAACTTTATATGCATATTGAATTAAGGCTATATCAGAGCTGGGACTATTATACTTTATATAATAGTCCCAGATCAGAGACATAAATGATATGTAATTGCCCTCTCAGCTATGTGTTATTTATATATTATAAGTCTCTGGCTATATTAACTAATATACTTAATTCAGGCTGGTGCAGTTACTTATTTGTTTCTGGTTATAATAAAATGCTCCGCAGGGCGCAGCTTGATACGACCGCAGAGGTCGAACCCTGAACAGTTGGGGCAAGTATGGACACAACATTCACGCTTGATACAGCTCTGAATTTGGATTGTGATTAAATATTTGACACAGCATAGGTTTCTGACACAGAATGAATGTGGTCTAAGAACTTAAAAATTTTAAATTGGACATTCACCTATTATGGTCCAATATCCAAAATCAAAATACATGGTTAGATTCAGCATATCAAAGAACCCCAAGAATTCAATTTTTGATGAAATCATACAAAGTTTAATTTTGGACCCTTTTGACCTCAATGTGGACAAAGTTGATAACGGGGCCCAAAAATCAAAAATCTAAATACATGGTTAGATTCAGCATATCAAAGAACCCCATATATTCAATTTTTGTTGAAATCAAAATAAGTTTAATTTTGGACCCCGATTTGGACCAACTGGAAAACTGGGCCCATAATCAAAAATCTAAATACATGTTTAGATTCAGCATATCAAAAAACCCTAAAAATTCAATTTTTGTTAAAATCAAACTAAGTTTAATTTTGGACCCTTTGGACCTTAATGTAGACCAATTTGAAAACGGAACCAAAAATTAAGAATCTAAATACACGGTTAGATTCGGCATATCAAAGAACCCCAATAATTCAATTTTTGATGAAATCAAACAAAGTTAAATTTTGGACCCTTTGGACCTCAATGTGGACCGATATAAAAATGGGGCCCAAAATCCAAAAACTTAATACATGGTTAGATTCAGCATATTAAAGAACCCCAAGAATTCAAGAATAAAACCCCATTGAAATTGATCAAGAAATTAGCAATTTATACGAAGTATCTTCTTTTGCACAATACTGTGCAATTGAATATTTCTTGCTATTGTGCAAGACTGTACAATTGATAATATCTTGCTATTGCGCAATATTGTGCTATTGGATATTTCTTGATATTGCACAATACTGTGCAATTGAAGATTTCTTGCTATTGCGCAATACTGTGCAATTGAAGATTTCTTGCTATTGTGCAATACTGTGCAATTGAAAATTTCTTGCTATTGCACAATACTTATTATATAATAATTTACATATCCTGTTTGATGTGTATCTCCTACCATATCATTATTATTTGCTTTCAAATATTAATCAGAAATAACCAACTTAAAATGGAAAATTTTAAAAGAAAAAAAAAAGGAAAAAAAAAAAAAAAAAAAAAAAAAAAAATCCCCCCTCCCAAATTTTTTGAACTTCCCTTTGTGGTATGGTACCTTGCAGTACAATTTCAGAGAGATCCATACACTTGAACACAAGTTATTGTCTGGAAACTAGAAAAATGCTTATTTTTGGCCCCTTTTTGGCCCCCAATTCCCTAACGTTTCAAGGGCAATTACCCCCAAACTCAATTCCAGCTTTCTCTTTGTGATATGGAACCTTGTAGTACAATTTCAGAAATATCCAAACACTTACACACAAGTTATTGTCATGAAACTAGAAAAATGCTTGTTTTTTGCCCCTTTTTTGGCCCCTAATTCCTAAAATTTTGAGGCAATTACCCCCAAAATCAATTACAGCCTTCCCTTTGTGATATGGAACCTTGTGGTACAATGTCAGAGAGATCCATACACTTACACACAAGTTATTGTCTGGAAGTTACAAAAATGCTTATTTTTGGCCCCTTTTGGCCCCTAATTCCTTAACTGTTGGTACCATAACCCCCAAAATCAATCCCAACCTTCCTTTCGTGGTATTGAACCTTATGGTAAAATTTCATGGAGATCCATTCACTTAAACTAAAGTTAGAGTGCGAAAACCAATGTGTCTTCGGACGACGCCGGACGACGCCAGACGACAACGACGACGACGACGCCAACGTCATACCAATATTCGACCAAAAAATTTTTAATTTTTGCGGTCGTATAAAAACAAAAATAAATGAGCAAATCTATCTATACAATAATTGATCGATAAACAGTATGACTGACGAGATAATTGTATAACATGATACAACATACCAAAATTCCTACAATACGCCGTGTTTCTTTTGTTTCGTTTCGCAATGTTACGTTTCTGTTCCGTTTCTCACCTTACAGGGAGCCCAATATCTCTGTTTGGAAGTTTAAAGGGATAAGTAACTAGACTGGCGATCCTGTGGAGTACCTCTATATTGCTATTTAAAACTCTTCTGTGTGAAGTACGGAAAAAGGTATGTAAAGCGCCATCTGTGTTAGCAAAAACAAAGAGACTTGACAGTTTTAAATGAACTTGGCACATTGCAGTCACAAAAGTAATACTTATAAGCTAGATGCTCTAATTTGAACTATATCTTAACATAATGGCAGGTTATCCCGACAAGACTACTCAATTATAAATAGCAGTCATGCCAAACAGGTTGCACTGGTGTCGATATCTTTAACAACGGTCCTGTCTGTCAGAGCTGTCTGGGCAAACTAATTCTCCGAAAGCACTTTGGTATCTTTAAATATGACCAGGAGACTGGCCTTCTGGTAGGGAAAATAGTTGGCATATTACTGTTCACGTCTGTGCAGCTGACATTAAAAGGGGTCTAGATAGAGCTAGATTATAGATGCCTAACCCTGTTTCCTTATTCTCCCAACAGGTTAAGATTCCGTTCTACTATATGTACATGGGGTACACCACGAATTAGTACTTGTCATATCCACACTTAAAGAAAATCAAATTTGTATCTTGTCAAATGGATACCTACATCATGTACATGTATTTAAAGTCATTTAATGATATTTGGCATCTTTTTAAGCCTGTTGATCAGTAGAACAGCCAAGTAGACAAATCTGGTGGTCGCAGGGATCTCCATGACCACTTTTATGATGGCACGCCGCTATCGTTTAATTGTCTTCCGCCATCGTCAAATGATCTCTGCCATTGTTAAATTATCTTCTGCCATCTTCAAATGATCCCCCGTCATTGTCTAAATGTTTTCGTTTTGCTAGCCGTTGCCATTGTTCTTAGCAATCATAATCAATTACTTGTAGTTGCATAACCCTTATTGTATTATAATCCAAAGGGTCCTCTGGATTACAGTTGTAAAGCCCTGAGGGGTATCCGGCTAAAGATCGCTAATCACTTGTGTCACAGAATAGAAGTTCCTTCAAAATATAAGATCCAAGTGAAAGAAATATTCTGTGATATTGTTTATATTGTAACAAATATTACAGTACTTTGCAGTCCGGTGTATCCGCGCACCTAAGACTTATGACTTCACTTCATTAAACTGATAAAATCAATAATTGAATAATAGTGTGTAATCACATTCCTAACATACTTTTATTTCATAAAATCTTCTGTTTGTATGGTTTCACCCTCAAGATTTTGTGTAATGTGTGTCCAAAATTAGGGAAACCCCTGTTCTGAGGGTTCCTCTGATGTCCGGTGATTTCGTGCATGCTTTCCAAAAATAGCTTATTTTGAATACAGGAAAGATTTGACACTACGAAATATAGGGCCAAAAAAAAATATATGTCAGGTGACGGTTACCCGACCTACCCTACTTTTGAGCGCCGACCCTAAGTCATTTTATTTCCGTCATAAAGTGAAAAATAAACTGGACTCGTGTCAAAAGCGAAGTTAGTGTTGCAAATGATATAAATCAATTGCCTGATACATCCCAATGTTCACAATCGTGAATATGACAGCTGTTTTAAGGAAATTCGCAACTCGTGTGATGAAATAAACACTTTGCCGCCATTTTTTTCCAAGGGAAATAATCCAATCATCAAAAATACGGGTAAACTTGGCCCATGATCAACTCGGACCACGACAACAAAACGGCATGACTCAAAATCATGTCACAAAAATTAAAATGAAAATACCGACCTACCTACCCTATTTTTTTAAAGTATGTAACCTTAAACAGACATATATATTTTTTTTGGCCTAGCTGAATTTGAACCAAACACAATGCCAAGGATGCACAGCAAAAATAATTTCCGTCTGATATAAATTTTTCTGAAATAAAACAAATTTTATCTGATGATGAAATTTTTTAATGGAAATTGGCCAAATATTGTAAATCACGGGATTGCAGTTATTAATTAACTCTTGAACTTATCAGTTTTATTCTTTTTTATCACTTCGGAAGGTTAAAACAATAACTAGAACGATTTTATTTGTGTTACTGTGTTGATATTAGGAAATCAGCTACATGTAATGCGCTATATCACCGACCTCGCTGACACCAGGGACTCCACTGTATTTGTTCTTTACGGAATAAACAAGTCGAACACATGCTTATATATTGACTTGAAACACAATCAGCATCCCCTTTTTTAAATGAGTACAAAATAAGATGAAAACAGAACATCATTGCATGCAAATAACACGAGTTCAAAAATTATCGACATTATTGAATCACTTTACAATTTTAAAAGTAAATACATGAATATTAACTGCAACTTGATAATCTGAAGAAATTGTGTATCGTCATTTGGAATTCATTTGGTAGCTTACAATCAAATTATTACATCTGGTTTACATTCAGAATCGAAAGATCCATGTTTCATAGTCTATTACTATGAAATTTGCAGTTTAAAGTCATTAAAACTATTTTAAGTTGTAAACATTTGCCCTCCAAATCTTTATTCAACGTTTTTCAAAATGGGTATGAAACTTCTTATTGTTGATGCGGCAAATCATCAATACCGGTTCATGACTTCTGAATTCGACAGTGAAAAAAAGATCCCCCCTCAATTTTTAAGTCATAAACAATTACCAAAATAGCAAGGACACGACTTGGAAACCTTAAGGACAGCTTGTGGCCATTCTTGAATAAACGGGAGCCATGCAGGCTTGATATTGAAATTGGTACAAATGACAATGAAAATATTGGTTATTCTATAATCATGATAATGAAATAAATATAGTAAGCAATATATCAGTCTGTTCACCGTTCCTTACATAGAAATGGAGGATTGAAATACTTTTGATCACGACACAGAAATGGAGGATTGAAATACTTTTGATCACGACACGCGGTAGATGGAGGGATTTGTCATGGTGAAAGTTCATCCATTGTTAAATTTTCATCCATGGAGATCCCTGTGGTCGTAGTAGATCCTGTCATTGCAGTTAAAATTTTGCTCATAAATACAAGACAATGGTACAGAGATAACAACACAAACAACAAGAATAATTATTACAATAGACGACTTTCGAACACTTTCCCGTATAATTCCTATGTCATTACATCACAGTGAGAACTGATTGTTTTTTTCGATGATGTCGTTTAAACCGATTTACCTCAGGTCAAAGCAGTCTGCACCAAAATCTTTTCCAACTACTAGTCCGAAGACCAATATTCAGACATTTTCCTTGTGTCTAAACCAAGATTTTGATAGAAAAAATTACATTCAAAATATATATGATATTTGTCTCCAATTTGTTGATTGTAACATAGGCAGCAAAAATGATTCTCTCTTATAAAATTTTGCCCCCTTCCTACTACAGTCAGCAGTTTATTATTAGACATTCGAAATCTAGAGAAAAGAATAGTATCTTTGAAGTCCAAGTTATTAAAATATTCCTAGCGTTCCAATATAAAATAAAATTATAAATATATGTGGCAGTGTTCTCCCCAGGATTTTTTGATAGTGCTGTGGTAAGCGTGTGGTATTAGATTGATTCACCTTACGCGTTAGCGATGTGACGTAACATTGTACTGTCATGTTGGTTATGTACATGTAGTATTTAATAGACATAAACCTGGTTATTTTTAATACATATATGCATTTACAGATATGGAATTAAGTTACTTTACATTTTCTTTAGCATTGAAAATTAAAATGCCAAATAATTGAAGTATTTTGATTTGATACCAGACCCCAACCCCCCTTTTTTTTTTAAAGATTAAGTATTTTTCACAGTAATTATATTATTCATACACTTTTAGTTGTTTCACATATATTTAGATATTACAACTTCATAATTTACTGACACATTTATAAAGAAAGACTTTGATAACAAAATTTTGATGTTTTTTTCAACTTTTATTTTAAATGGATATCATACATCTTTCAAATTCTATCAACATATAATTTAATTTTGATGTAACGCGTCTTCTGATTGGCTGAAAGTGTTTTGTCTATCAGCTCATAGACATAATTTTGTCATGTGACGGTGACGTCATCAAGGTTTTTATCATGATTTACTCCTTTTTAGAATTAAATTATAAGAAATGACTGTAATATTTTTTCTGTCTATTCGAAATAACCTAAAAAATGTGGTGCACACTTTTGAATAACCCGCTACATGGGTTTTTCAGTGTGCACCACATTTATGATGTTATTTCTTCATAGAATTTTTTTTTGAAAATTTAATAACAACTAGTAAAAAAGTCATGTATCCAAATCAAAATATCAATCAGTACACATCCAATGGATTTAGTGCCATTTATATAAGTATTTACAGGAAGCCTTTATAACTGTGTAGCAGTACATATGAAAATCAATGTTTAATAGTCCAATTTTGTCTAAAAAACTTCTGTAGTTTTTTTTAACAGAAACAAATGAAACAAAAAATGATAATAAACTGTTTTGCCGAAAAGCATGATAAGTATTGAGTTTGTATAATGCATTTTTAACCTATTCTTAATTTTTTCCCCATAATACTTTATTCTTTAGATTTATATCTTAGCACCCTATTCTCTATTTTTATTTACTGGTTCATTATTCTCAATTTTTTGATTGATTGGTCGATTGTTCTCTTAATTGTGCTGGATATTCATAATATCTGGAACAATCATTCTCTTGTCCTAATCACATTTCAACCCTTTAAATGCTTATGTATGGAACTTAAAAAAGGGAGGTCCACTCTAAAAGAACCTCAAACTGTGAAAGTTGTCTTTAAGAGAAAATAGACAAAAAATTTGAATAAAAATGGAATGAATTACTTGCAAAACATCACTTCTGGGTGGCTCCAGTGTGAGTAATGGAATTGTAACCCAGTTGTGAGAGAAGCAGACACTGGCATATGTTATCTAAGATAAGTACACACAGCTAAGTGCAGTGATGTGAACATTCTTTAGGATTTATCCATCCCCGTTTCAAGTAATTTATAAATTATGACTACTCAGATCATATTCCGTTTACAAGCTGTACTCGGATCATATTCAGTTTACAAGCTGTACTCAGATCATATTCAGTTTACAAGCTGTATTCAGATCATATTCAGTTTACAAGCTGATGTGTACATGTATATGAATAACCTTACTTGTCAAGAAAACCTTTTTATTAAAAATTGTGTAAGTTGCAA